CAAAATAAAATTTGACCAACCCCGGCCGAACTGTACAAAACAATCATAACTGTCAACGAAGAGTTGACTATCGACAATGACACTAATGTAGTCGATAAGGTAATCGGCTGCCTAAGTTTTAACTTGATGATACATATTGCCAAAGTCATTCATTTCAGCCTACCGCCAACCTAAGATTATACACACTCACACATATCTCCATACTTTCTCAATCTTCTTGGATGACAGGTTGTTTTGCGGATGATTCTTGATCGGGTATATTACTTGAAGTGTTGCATGTCTCTCCTTCTAGGAAGTGGTCTGTGGTACTCCTCCCCCTCACCCGAGCACAAAACTCGGATCTCATAAGTCTGGCCGTCTCCACCGAATCGGCAAAGTACCCCCCGTAGAACGATCCACTTTGGGTCGATAACAGGGTCACTTCCTAAACAACGAACCCCCGCCCCATATGCTTCCAAGAGAAAGAGAATGTATTCACTGCCAATAGCTTTCAATTATTCTCACTTCTCCTAAGCTCGGGGTAACTTGGATGAAAAGAAACTCAGAGGAGATAGAGAACGAAAGTCATTTGGACAGGTATAGGTAGATAAGGTCATTCATGATAGAATGGATCAATCCTCGCGAAAAAAAACAAGTTCGTTTGACCCTATCTGCTTTCTTTCAATGAAATTCGTTTTATGGTATGCACATGATTAACGTTTCTCAAGACAACGACACTTTTTTGGCATGCAGGCAGGTGAGAAGTAGGAATGTAATCATTTTCTCTTTTTTCGAATAGGCATAGTCAATCTCCTTTGTAAGTAGCATTCTACCTACCTGCACAACACGCAAAGAAAACAAATTCAAAAGAAAACAGTACAATCTAATACTCGAGTTAGACTTTTTCGTTCACAGGCATGACTCATACAACTTTCCTTTACCTTTTTCTTTTGAACATTCAAAATGACAAGGTCAAGCAAAGTGTGGGTTCACACACAGGTGTGAAGGGAAATCTGAGTCAATCAACTGACTGACCTTGAGTGAAGTTTGGTTCCGCTCACTCAAGAAATCCGAGTAATATTCAATTCAAAAGAAAACGATCGTCATTGAATATGAAAATATGCAGCTCGCATGAAAATACACAGCTCACAACTCCACATGTTGTGGCCTTTCCCCTGAGCCACGGCCACGTCCTCTACCAAGTGTCTGAATGAGCAGAGTCAGATTCATTGAGAGAACTCAAGTGCAGTAACCCTCCAGAGGGTGTTCCCACAAATAAGTCTCACTGGGTCCCAAATGCCCTAGATAGTCCCAATGCAGTCCCGGTTGCAGTTCCAACAGCATCACGTCCCCAAGGATTTATCCCAAACCAACTCGCAAATCTATGTCGCCTCACACCACTGCATCCGCACCCCAAGTTGGTCGTGCTCGGTCCCAATATGGTCCCAAGTGATATTGGGCAGTCTCACACCATCGCCTGCAACATTAGATGGTTCAGAACTCAAAACCACTCGTTCCACGTGCCGCAAAAGAAAAATAAAAAATAAAGGTGGTTTCCGGCAAAACCGTATGCGCCTCGAACCCCAATGAAAAATAAAGATGTCCTTCCGGCGCAAACAGCAAGTGTTGCAACTACAATAGCCATTGTTGCGAGCACTCACTCCGCGCCCTCTTCATGCCACCGGTCCACGGTGCCCAAAGTGGGTCTTTCCAAGTACTGCGGCGGGCTTTTTTGACCTTCCACGGTGACGGACGTTCCTTTGGACCACCGTATGGCCTGGCCTCTCAAAGTGGGTGACACGACATTTGCCAACGGCCAGGAAAGCAGCCTGCCCACGTCGCATGGTCCTCTGCTCCACCAACGAACCAGGCAACCACGGGCGGACATCGAAAAGGCTGACTCATTTTCGCGGCAGCTTTCTCGGTAGGGGTAGGAGTCCTTGAGCTTTCCGTTTTGTTTAGCACCGTTGGGCCGTCCATCACGGACTACGCGCCACGTACACATAACCCGAAAACGTACCCGTAACAAAGCGATGCGCCCTCCTACATCGGGAAGTTGTGGGATCCGCATTCTCAACAAAATTGCCCACTTTACGCACTTTTTTTTTCTTTTTTTTTTTTTTTTGGGGGGGGGGAACAAAAGCTCCAATCTATTCGTGGGGAGCATCACGTGCTGAGAACCGGGCTCAGCGTCCCTTTGAAGTACAACTGAGAATATGTAACACATTTGAAATTCCAGGGCCATGGCCCGGCTTTGGCTAGGAAAACAATCAGTCAATTACCTATGAGAAACAACTGCAGTTCTCAGAAAACTGCCTAGGATCTACCCAATCACAATCCAAACCTGGAAATAGAAGATCCTAACTAAAACCTCCTACTGTTTACACCTCCCTTTCAACAAGCGAAAAAAGTGAAGTCCAATACCAGACTGTCGAATCAGAAGCTAAGTATCACGACCATGACGACCACATTTCAGGATAAGCCTGTGCCTTAGCTTCTGATCGGACAGTGCCTAAGCTAGGTAATTTTGGTGAAAAAGTCGGACCCCATCACTTTCCGAGGTCTGTGGGTGCGGCGCTTTGTTAGGGGTACGTTTTCACACATAGCCCGTGATGAACGGCCCAAAAACACTACATAAAATGGAAAGCTCAAGGACCCCTACCCTGTCGGCCTTTTCTATGTCCACCCTTCCTCAGCAGGTACGTCTGTGTCACCCACATCGGGAGGCCAAGCCATATGGCGGACCACAAGAACATCCGACTTCGTAGGAGCCCAAAGAAACCCTCCGCGTAGTTGGGAAAGACCACCGAACCCGGCTCTGTGGGGTCCCAGTTTGCTTTTCCGCCCGGTCCGACCCGTTGCCTTTTTTTTATTTATTTATTAAAAACTATGTTCTTCTCTCAATTTCCCCTCACACTACCTACCTACCACTACTCCTAATTGTAGCGCCTTAGTGGTATCTGACGAAATACAGCAACTTTCAGGGGTGTTCCAACCATTTTGCCTTTTTTTCATTTTTGACTCGAGGACGCCGTGACGCAAGCAAAGAGCTAGCGCCTCGCTCCCCCTTTTTCTTTTTTTCCCACTACTCTCTAAGGGCATACTCACACTACTAAATAGCCCTTCGGCCACACCTGTATGCATCTGGCCTCAATTCCATCCACCACTGAGTAAAATAGTCCTACCGGTAGTGTGCGTATGCCCTAAACTGTGCAAAATGAGAATGATCTCCTACCGGTAGTGTGCGTATGCCCTACACTGTGCAAAATGAGAATGAACGAGGCCCTTTTTTTTCTCTCTTTCTTTTTTTTTTTTTTGCGCAGGGGCCATGCTAATCTTCCTTCTCTGTATCGTTCCAATTTCAACGGATGTCCCAAGGGGCAGAACGTGGCCCTTCTAGTACCGCAAGCGCACTCACAAAAACTATATAAACTTAAAGATGACGTAGGACCTTCGTCCAAAAAATGGACGTAAAAACGGACGTGGAAGGTAAACATGCACACACAAAACGACGGTGATTGCCACCGGCCAGAGTAAAGTAGCAGCGCGCAAGAGCGCTATCCTCAGACAAGCAACCTCAAGAGCTGCGGTACAACGACACGTGTCGATCGTCGGCACAGCTTCGCTTCATCTCACTATCCTGGGCCGCTAACCATGAGCCCCCTTCTCTTCAACCAGGGTTATGGCCTTCACACTGATGACGTGTCAGGCCAACGTGTGACCGCAGGGCAATCATGTCGGATGGCGTGGGAGAAGAACGACAGAGAGGCAACCACCCTATCCCGTCGAGCCAGCAGGTCTGGAAGGGCATGGCCAGCAGCCCAGGTCCAGCGGAACATGAAGCCCCTGTCCCCGATGGGCCAAGGGACAAGCCTCCCTATCATCCCGATCGAGAGAGAGGGCCCCCCTCCTACTCCCTCCCTCTTCACCGGCCATGCTTTTCCCCCGCTGAGAAGATGGGCTATTATGACAAACTTCTGCTCCCAATCCCGGCGCAGGTCAAAGAGCCAAAGAAGTCTGCACCAGGTGCAAACTCTGGACCAGCTAAGAAGAAGAAAAAAATCCTGGAACGGCTGACAGAACGGGGGGCATCTGAACATGGTCGTCAGTTTCGCTGTGTGTGGATATGATCAACGGCTGACAGAACGGGGGGCTGCTGCAGGCTACATCATATTGCAAACCGCAGGCCAGGCGAATGAGACAAAGGAGACTGAACCAGGTCTAACCTCTGGACCACCTACAGACCCCGGACCTAGATCTGCAGGTCGTCGTCAGGTCGACTGTATATACCCCCCCCCCCCCCCCCCCCCCCACACACAAACTTTCTCGGGGCGACGGGTGGTTATCATTCCGTTATTCCGCACCGTCAATAGGTCGATTGATGGATCGATCAAGCACTCGGTGATCGGTTGATTAATTGGTTGATTGATTGATTGATTGATGGATGGATGGATTAATTGATTGTTTCATTGATTGATTAGTTAGTTTATTGTTTCATTGATTGATTGTTTGATTAATTAATTTATTCTTTCATTGATTGATAGATCAATGGACTGCTTGAGTAATTGATTGATCGATTGATCGATCGATCGATGAATTGATTGATTGATTGATTGATTGATTGATTGATGGATGGATGGATCGATTGATTAATTGATTGATTGATTGATGGATGGATGGATGGATTGGCTGATTGATCGATCGATGGATTGATTGATTGATTGATTGATTGATTGATTGAACGATGGGTTGACTGATGACTTGGTCGCTTGAAGGACCATGGATGGCTGAATGAATGCATGTATAGATGGATTGATAGATAGATCGATCGATAGATGGATGAGATGCTATTGTTGAATAGACACTGTCAGATTGTCAATGTTGTATGGACTAAGTGGTGAGAAGGATGCGATGCAATCCAATGCAATGCTCGTCTATCTTATCTTCTATGTAGATAGCAGCGAACGACGGAGGAGGAGGGCGTCGAAATGGGAGACCACCACTGCGATGTCGAAGCGGCTGGAGCGAGAGATGGGAGCGGCAAGTGCAGGAAGAAGGGGTGGATTATAGATGTGGAGGTTGAAGGCATGAGCTGTGCTTCTTGTTCGTCCTCTGTGGAGACGGTTATTAAGAAGAGCGTCAATGGAATTGGATCGGTGTCGGTGTCCTTACTTCACAACAAAGCCAGGCTCGTCGTCAACCACGCATTGACACTCGCAGAGGTAAGAGAAGAGAAGAACTAAGTCAGGCAGCCACGTGAAAGCAAAAAAAAAAAACAAAAAAGAAAACAAAGGACACCGCTTTATAACTTACACACCCATTCCAACCATTTCTGCCAGGGGAACCCCTTGGCTTCCTTCTGGCACGTACGTAATGGCACGTGGAACTCTCCCGGATGTCTAAAATTCTTGCTGTTGATTCACATCTCTCTCTCTCTCTCTCTCTCTCTCTCTCTCTGTGTCTGTGTGTCTGTCTTTGTGTGTCTGTCTCTGTGTGTGTGTGTATGTGTGCATTTCTTTCTCTCCCTCTCGTGCTTGGTCTGTCTGCATCTCTCTCTCTCTCTCTCTCTCTCTCTCTCTCTCTCTCTCTCTCTCTCTCTCTCTCTCTCT